GAGCGTTACTTTTTCTCCCAATGACACTAGCTCCAGGCGAGTGGGCACATAATGAGGTTAAATACTGGGCACAAGGCGTCAATTATGGGACACATTTTTACTTGGCAATACTTCACACGCTTCTTGAAACATTTACATATTTAATGACATATAGAGGTAGTTTTTTTTTTACTCTTGCTAAAATGAGTCGTTCTAAAACTCATTTTTCATTATACAAACGGTTTAGACAAGACACACACGCATGCTCATTTTGTCAAACAAACTTTTAAAGAAAGTATATGTCAAAGCTAACGACTGTCCGCAGGTTGAAACACACTACAAACAATGGATCTTCCGACTGTACATGTACAGATCGTTTTGGCAGTGACTGTGCTTGCTCCAACATTTGAATCTTTAAACAGTATATCTATACTATCTTCATCTAAATCAAAGGACTGTTTAGCCATGAAGAAGTCTCTTGACCTAGTTGTAGTGACAATGATTCCTACATGTCAAACGTTGTAAGTAAAAATTATATTCATTTCTCTAAAACAGCGAGCCATGAAGGTAATAGCCCTTAAGTATTGTGTACACATAGGTAAATATATCAAAGAATGTTTAGACATTAGAGCAAGTAGTACAAGTTGATTTATGTATTGTCTTGTATGTAGGTTAATTTCGTTGTACCTACAATTTGTCTGTATGTCTACATGTAGTTTAAGACCTTACGAAAGTCGCTGTACTTTTGTTATGTCAATAAAGTTCTCTTTCACTCTAAGTTTGGATAGTGACAGTTTAATGCGTAGTAAAATATGTGTGCGTGATGTGACCTGTGCATTCGCACAACAGTCGGATTTAGGGGTACATTTTAGGAACGCAGTAGACTGGAAAGGCTTTTCAATTGCACGCTGAGAATTATTTTTCTTCTCCCATTTTCTTGAAAATTACTGTGCCCTTAAATGATTGTTTAGATTTACAGTTTTGAATTGGCGCAAAGTGGCATTGTACAGGGAAACATTATGTCACTGGTGTGACGCCTTTTCTCTTTCTCCCGTACTGTGTTATTGGTTAAAATGACAACATTCCATAGAATGTAAAAGAAAAGTTTGGG